TTTAATAACGTAACACGAGCTTTGTCCGCACCTGGACTCGAACCCGCGCTCTGACGGTTCCGTAAAAAGTCTTTTTTTCATTGGATATAACGTAGCGATTTGATTGGTTGTTTCTGCGTTCCACCTATGAGTGATGGGCCGAGGTGTCAGCGTTTTTCTAGCCGCTCTGGTGGCACGGAGCGAGGCTGTGGTGAGTGCGCTGCGGGTCGAGTCGCTGTATGCAGCATGGAGCCGCCCGACTTCGAAAACATGAATTTCACGGTGGCGCCGGAGGAGTCCGCCTACCCGCTGTGTAAAGAGTGGAAAGAGGGCGCGGAAGGGTCGGTGTTCCATCTCGCCAACATCTTTCTGTTCCTTGGCTTCATGGGGGGCAGCGGCTTTTACGGACTCTTCTACCTGTTCATCCTCCTCACTCTGGGCTTCTTCTGCTCCACTCTCTGGTCGTGGTCGGACTCCTGCACCACGGACTCTTTCCTGTGGAGTTTGGCGATCTTCGCGGTGTGTCTGGTACAAGTCCTGCACATGTCATACAGGCTGAGGAGCTTTTCGTTTGACAAGGACTTCCAGGAGCTGTATAGCTGCATGTTTAAAAGGCTCGGAGTGTCATTGTCCCATTTTGGGAAGATCGTGGCCTGCTGTGACGGGGAAGTGCAAACTTTAGAGAAGGACCGCTGCTTCGCCGTAGAAGGAAAAACCGCTATTGACAAGCTGTCAGTGCTGCTCTGCGGGAGGTGATTGCGCACACACGCTTGAACAGCTCAGAGTCAAACACGGTACACCCCAACATAGAGTTTAGCGCAGTCATGTCCTGTTGGTATGAAAACAAAGGGTTGTTTGATACTCTTTGTCGTGTGAAAGTCTCACTGACAGACTCCAAATGTTTAACTGGGTCAGGGTTACTGGGACTGATCCAGACTGGCTCATGAGCTAAAAGGCTTCATTATTGTGATCTGCATTTCTAGTTCACTCTTTACCTGAGGGATCTTTGCAGCTTTGACCGCAAAGCTTTGTTTGTTTGTTTGTTTGTTTGTTTGTTTGACCAGGCTTTAACCACAACAGCTCCGTGTGTCTAAATGAGTATAGCTTTAAAGAGCCTAGATTTAAACATGCTTTTCATAACCACATGTCGTTGGGGAGTAAAGGCTGAATAGATCACACTGTAATGATTTGCTTTTCACTCATCTATGGACAGCAGCTTATTGAACAGTTAAATGTTTTTCGCATTAGGTACTGATTACCTTAATGATTAGTCTGCTAGTATTTTCATGTAAAGTCAATACATTTTCATCAGTTTTTGTGCTTTATTACTTTTGTAGCTAAAAATGTACTGGAGTAATAGTTTGTACAAAATGTAGCCTAGTGCACAAACACACACTGCAGAATTGATCATGAAATCAGTTTTACAAGTATTAGAATATATGTAATAAATGTAGTAGAGTGCTCTGAGGCAGTGGATGCTGCCTGTGAACTTACATTTTCAGATATTTGTTCTGAGAAAGTGAGGCAGAACACCA